ACACACACATATATATATATATATATATACACCCCCCACATATATATGAATATACACATACCCACACACATATATATACATATACACATATATGTGTGTTTTATATATGTGTGTATATATACATACCCATTTCAATAGTATTGGTTTCATTTGAAAATAATATGTTACTTTATGCATTTAAAAAATTAGTCTGAGAAGGTTTCAGTAGACTGCCCAAAATCCCAAAGCGTAAGATAAACAGGGCACCTGGACAGAGACGAGGTGGGAAGGGAAAATGTGAATCTGTAAATATTTTTCAGCAATGAGTGAGCAAGTTTAGCAGTGGAGGGAGATCCTACACAAGGGAAGAAAGGAACCATTTTGGTGAGTGTTCATGACCCCAGGGATGGTACCGCATGCCTGAGAAGCAAGCTATTCTGATTCCCAGTTTCATCAACACTCAGGGGGTGGTAGGGACTTAGCATGGGTTGCAATAGGCCTACTCATTGATTCCCCACGAAATCCTTAACTCAGCACACACATCAATTTAACAAACATTTATTAAGCTCCTACCATGTACCGGGCACTGTGCTAGGCACTGGAGATAGAAAGACAAAAGTGAAACAGTCTCTGCCCTCAAGGAGCTTACATTCTACCTTAAGGACCATAGCAACAGATGCTCTATCACAAGGCAGCTCCATTTGGGGATCATTCTACTTGTTAGGAAGGCTTTCCTTTCATCAAGTCTTAATTTGGCTCTTTGCAACTTTGACCCATCATTCTCTATTCTTCCCTCTGGGGTCAAGCAGTCAAATGCCTCTTCCACTCAACAGACAACTCTTTGAATATCTGAAGGGCTCTCATATGTCACCTCTGACTTCCAAGGGTTCTCTTCTCCAGTTCCTTCAACTCCTCTTCTAGCCACCCACCGTCCTGCTCAACTCTCTCTGAACATGGTCCAAACTAATAGCTTCCTACTGAGGAAAGCTTGAGCAAAGCTCAAGTTGGGTTCTAGACCAATTGTTTCATTTCACAGGGGAAGAGACCAAAACTCATAGAAGAAATATGACTTCCTCAAGGTCATCAGACACTACCTAAAATCAAATGGGACCAATACCCATCTGGACCCTATTTTCATGACCCCCCCAACAACCTCATGCTCTCCAGAGCTCCTCACAGTCCTGCCTCTCAGTTCTTCCTTTTCTCTAACTATGGCTATTTTGTATGTCTCCCTGAAGGACAGGAAAGGAACAGTATATATCTGATTCTTCTTGACACAGGTCTGGGTACACTGCAGGGAGGAGGACAGAAATGTGAATCAGTGAATCCCTGTGGATTGAGTGACCTATTCCATAATGCAACATTTTGTCTGACTCCCCCTGTTCTACCATTTCCTGCTGCCCCCACCCCTTTCCCTTGTCTGGTCACAGCCCAGTGACTTCAAACTGTAGTTTGAAGGCTCTGCTCTGGCCAATAGCCCCATTCTACTTTGATGGTCTAGCTCTGCCAAGAAAACCTGACTCTCTCCTCACTCTCTTGTTTTGCTTTGAAGCCCTGGATCTTCCCCAGAGGAACAACTTTACTCTAATGAGGTGTTGGTCTCACGTATTGGAAAAGTCAGGGATCTAGAACCCAGGTGATTCCGTAACCAGGAGGAAAAACAGAAGTTTCAGGATTGCCCAACCTGGACCTTGGCAGGTCCAACAGGAACTTTCTTCAATTCAAACCCTAGAGCTTCCCTGGCTTGTGGTTTTTATCTTTCATGACATGGCTGAGCAGATTTGGAAAGCAGAGGAGCTGAAAGAACTTAGGGGACCTGCAGGTTCTGTTTTTTCTCTTGGTGATTCTGGGGCATCTTCTTGGCTCTGGTTATGGATCTTTTCCCCCCAATAAACGGTCCAGAATTGGACTGTTGAAAGGAGCCATGAATGACCAAGAGGACTTGGGGGGGAAAACTGGCATTCTGGGTATGGGATTCAATTCCATTCAACCAACTGATTATGCTACAGCTCAGATTTACAAATCTTCAACCAAGATCCAACTACCCAAAAAACTAGAGAACCTAGATTCACTGATAACCCAAGCTCAGTTTCTAGCCCTTTTTCTCCTCCTTCCAACCCTATCACCACTGACTCTTCCCCTCCTATCTTCAGCTTTGGATTCACCGACTCAGACCAAAAGCCAGCAGTACTGCCCATGACCTTGGAACACTTGAATTAAGAGACCCATCCCAAGGCCCATCCCTGTTCCCATAGACCACAGGGCACATGACAAGAGTCCCAGTCAGGACCAGAGAAGGAGAAGGTTGGGGCCTCCTCTGGGTACTAGAGACACATCTGCTGTCTAGTCCTAGGCCTCTGTGGACAGAGAGGTACTTCACAGGCAACACAAGTAAGAAATGAATTTGCCGAACCTACCTCAGAACATCCATTTCTGCCCTGTCAAGTTGGGAAACATTAGGCACACAACTGCCCATAAAGACTAGACCAGAGGCCAATAAAAACATCTATTTTCAGGCAGCATTTTACAGTAAGAGATGTGTTGAAAATATCACAGAAAGAGGAGGGGTCAATTTAAACAGTCACAAGCTGTCCTCTCAGCATCCTTCCACAGGGGGTACTTGAAGCATGCTTGTAGCTGGACCCTTGAACACATCATCTGGCCTGAGGGCACAGATAGTCCTACCCAAGGGCTGGCTGCGGAGCAGAAGGCAAGGAGTGTGTGGTGGGCTGGGGCTGCGTGGGCCTCTTCTGGGCCCAAGCCTCTCTAAGCCAGGCTACAGGTGTTTTGGAACGGTCCTCAAGGCCTCCTCTCGGGAGCGGTGAATGTCCACATTCTGCAAACACAGAGAAAGGACCGTTAGGGCCCCATTGGACTGTTCTCTTACTTTCCCCTACTTTCCCATCATCTATGGCTCCAGGAGACCGTCAATGGCTCAGCCGAGAGCCACTGCCCACTCTTCTGCTGACCTTTGGGGATGTCTGTTGTGTTCCAGAGCCCTCAGAGGACCCTTAGCATAATGAATGGGGGAAGGGGGCAAACTTCAACATGGCTACCCTAAATGTCGGGGAGTCTTGGATGTGGAGTACCTGGTTCAGAGGTAGAGAGACTGGGGAAAAGGCAGAGTGGGGAGGAGACAGGTTCAGGGGTAAGGACCTTCCTGGAGTCTTTTTTTTTGGGGGGGGGTGAGGCAATCAGGGTGGACTTGCCCAGGGTCACACAGCTGGTAAGTGTCAAGTGTTTGAGATTTGAACTCAGGTCCTTCTAATGCCAGGGCCCATCCACTGCAGCACCTAAGTGCCCCACCTTCCTGGAGTCTTAATGCCACCCACTCACTCCCCCTTCCCTTTAGTTTAGCTTTATCCAAAACAGGCAGTCTGATGAGCTGAGGTTCAAATGAGTCCATGGCTCTCCTGGGACAGAGGAGACAAGAATTCAGCCTTGCCAATCATGGTTTCTCTAAACGGCCCTGGGATCACAGTGAGGAGGTAGGTTCAGGAGATAGGGCTTTCTGCTGCTGCTGACTAGCCCCTCTTTGGAAGATAAAGGACTGATTCAGGAGCAGAGGTCCGCCAAATCTTGATTTGTTTGATTTGCTGATTTGATGACTGGAGGAAACCTAGGACAGACAGAGGCAACCCAAGAGTCCTTTCTTTGTACGTCTGTTCTCAGCAGAAGCTGTTCGTCTTTCCCTTATCTGCCATAGTCCACCTTCTCTGTTCCTACAAGAACATTCCTCAAACTTGCGGATGGTTTGCTTTGGGAAGCCTGTCAGATTACAGTGTATATTCTGGGACAAAGGTTGAGGGAGGAGTTGGAGTCATATGGTGGAGCTGGAAAGGGAATCTGAGCTTGTTAGATCCAAAGAGGAGTGGGTGACCCACAGTCCTCAGTTGAGACTCCTGGCCTCATTATCTCCTGAATTAGCTACACTTTGGACCCAGCCCCACGTGCTAAAAAAGAGGTGTAGGAGAAAACGGTACATTCAAGCTGATGATGTTGACAGACTTCCTAACCCAGAGACACTGAAAGGCCTGGTGACTATCATTAACCCGCACGCAGGACCCACGTCCTGTTTCTTGGTAGAATGGGATTTACATGACAGCCTTGAAATGAGTGCTAGTGGGACGGAGACCTTCTCTATCCTTGAGCTTTGGTTTTCTCATTTATAGACAAGGAAGTTGGTCTGGGTGACTCTCAGGGTCCCTTCCAGCTCTATGATCCACATTTTCAATCAGTTCATTAGGAAAAGAATAGACAATGTATGACTCAAGGCAAGGGTCTGGATCTGATGACTTGTCTGGGTCCCTCCTATTCCATGATTCTGAGGACTAGGCATGTAACAGATTTCAAACACGTCTTCCCCCACCCTTCAGTGTTGTAGTTCCTCCTCCAGGCAGCCACCCCATCCCACATTCAGCAAGAGGACCTGAGAATTATGTATCAAAGCCTGAATGCATAGGAATCCTGTCTACCCCATGCCCACCCAACTTGACTCTCTGGGCCTGTTTCTACTCCCCTTGGGTTCCTCATCTCAACCAAAATATCAAGACTCTTCTCACTTTATCCAGCAAGCATTAGGGTCATCCCTTCTCAGGGGGCTGACACTCCAGTTTAGTCCAATCAGATCCATACAGCTGTCCCTGTCACATCACAGTGAGTACAAGTCACTGGCTACTCCTTCTCACCCTGTCACACCCAGATGAAGTAGATACAGTCAGACCCATGACGCCCTGATAAGGTACAGCCATGACTACACAACTAAGTGTCCTTCCCTAGGACAGCTCCAGCATACGTTGCAGGAGCCCGTCACATCTACACCAGCAATTCTTTTTTTTCCAGCTAGAGATGAAGAATCACAAAATCAAGGCTGTCCTGGACTCTAGTCAGCAAATTGGGCAGGAATTGCTCAGATGACCTCAACTCAGGCAGTATGGGAAATGGAGGAGTGCCCCCTCTTCCCCATCCTGAGGCTCAGCCTGGTGTTCCAGCACAAATGAAGCAAGTTTTCCAGGACACACTGGATTCCAAGGAACATTTATTGCAATTAAAGTCTGATACAATGCATGCACCATCTGCACAAGATACAATACAATTAGGTCTGAAAAACAAAACAAGACAGGAAAGGCCTCCTGTGAAGGTGTACGTCGTTCAGGTATTATAGGCTAAAATACAGAGGGAACAGAAAGTGGGAATTTTTTTTTTCTCAGTGGTTTTCAGTTGAAACATGGCCTTGTGAGACAGTTGCCTGTCCTGGAAGGGGTCCTTGCTCAGGCAGAAAAGCACCTTCCCCCTCCTGGCAGGTGGGAAACTTGACCCAGGTTTCCTAGAGTTCCCTCCTGACCTCTCTCTGGCCTCAGACCCCAGGTCTTTCCAGTCTAAGACCAAGGCCAATTGCATGCTAATGCCCCTGAGAACAGGCACAGATGGCTACAGGAAAACAAAGAAGGTAGGCATGGACCAAGGTCACAGTGGATAGTGGCGCCTGCCAAAGAAGCAGCAATTTGATCCTGCTGCTGGGAACTCACGGCTGTTCAGGACAGCTCTATGACCCAGGACAACAATGGTCATTGACAGGTCTGTGTGTGACCTGCACCAGTGGCCAATGATGGAGCCATAGGTTGCTGAGGGCTACTCATCACTGATTAGTCTATGGAGTCTAGGATACCAGGAAGTTGGTTTTCTAAGAGAAAAGGTTCTGGCCCAGGGCAGAGGCACCAGCTGGTTCCTAAGAATCTCAAATGGCACAGTCAGCAGAAAGTGTCTGGAAGGATAGTGATCTCTGGAAGACACTCTCCTTTGGGTCATCCTGCAGGTCTTATATGGGACTAAACCTCAGGGGACTCAGAGGATGGACTACCAAAGGCCACATAGGCCCTGTCATACAGTCATAGGGCTATGGTCCCCTCTCCCTTGACAACCACTTCTAGAGTTTCCTTTCCTAGTAATAAGCCATATGTGTAGTTTCTCAGGATAGCTGAAAAGCCATTTGACTAATTTATTCCCAATGCCAAGGGCATGTCTTCATTTCTCTACAAAGCTTCTGTAAAGCAGAAAAACCCATGTAAAGGAGATTTTCAAGTATTCTATGCTAGGAATCAAGAGACCTGGGTTCAAGTTCAGAGTCCCCCATGAACTCATGATGATGTGACCTTACTATAAGTCATTTTCACCTTCACAGGCCTCAGTTTCCTCATTTGTAAAACAGCCTTCCCTGCTAACCTCACAGGGTACTGTGATATTCCAAGAAGAGAATGGATGGGAAAGCACTGGACAATTGTGAGGGGTTATTATTTTTATTAAGCTTCCATAGACACATAAAACACAGCCATGACCCTTCCATAAAGTGCTTGGGACCTTCTGGCCCCAGCCCTGACCTCCACATCTCTCAGGAAGGACTCAAGCCACAAATCTGATCCACAGGAAGATACTTCAGCTAAAGACTTGAAAGGTGCAGGAGAAATTTTTCTGATGCTGGTCACATTCACATCTCTTTCTCCTCTGAGGCATTTTAGTTTGAGTATAGTTAGCAAGGGGTGACTACAGGCACCATCTACCTTCGTGTGTGAATTACAGTTTGTGATTACACTCAGGAAGTGAGAACTATGGCTGTCACCCTACCATGTTAATCTCAGTACTATATATAAAATCGTGAGAACTTCTGTATGCACAACTGACTCAGGGTGACTATAGCTGCTGCTTGCCTATAAGAACTCCAGTGTGTGTATAATCAATAGGGGGCCGTCACCCCCTTTATGAATTTCAGAGTGGATACAAAATCAGCCCTGGGTGAATTTCAGTGTGTAAACACTCGGCAAAAGCTCATATGGCTGATGCTTTGCCACATGAAACTGGATGTGCGTAGTCAAGGAGGGAGTGATGACAGCTGTCAATTTGCTGTCTGGGATTTCAGTATGTATACAAGTCAGCAGTGGGTGAATCCGGTCACAGAATGGAGTACAGTGCTTAGCAATGCAGCTGGAGATGGAGGGTGAATCTGGCTACCGACAGCTCCTGCCTTATGGAGCTTAGGTAATTTCAAGTGTTTAAAAGGGAAAGGAGATCTGGATCCCTCCAAAGTGAGGGTACTCAGTGGAAAGACGCTGTTTAAGGCAAACACCACCAGGGGAAGGCTCTTTGTTGGCAACAGGATGAGTTGGACAAGCCTGCTGGTCCCCTCCCCAGGAGATACTGCTTGGGAATTTTGCCAATCAGCAAACTGTACCAGTTCAACAGCTCAGCAGACAAGGCAGTCTAAGGAAATGGCACTGGCTCTCCCCTAGGGCAATCAACCCAGGGAATTTACTAACATTCAAGTCCGTCCTACAGAAGATATGAGGTTTCACAGTGGCAGAGTTTAATACTTCAGACAGGTCTGCCTGCTACTGCACATTAGAGTCCAAATACGGGAGCGGAAAAATTAGATGATTAGAAAACTCTGGAAAAGATGAGTCAGCAAATTAACTCTAATGACTGACGCAGAACAGGGGCCTGCCTAACTCTGGGGAAGCTCCTTCGGAGCTGAGCCCCTTAGGGGAAAGTCTCTCGAAGACAACTGATTGAGTTGATTTAAAAGTGACTTGAATGATTGAGTTTATGAAAAATAATGAAAACTGCACCACAAGTTTGATGACTGATGAGGACACAGGTTCACTGGTGAGCAGGGACGGTGACAAGGGCTTCCTCTGGAGGTCTTGAAATGTCTACATTCTGCATAACAAAATACAGGAGAACACTTATCATGCAACAGGAAGTTACTCTGACACCAAAAAGCTATTTTCTCAAATACAGAGTCCTGTCTACACAACTGGAACCCAGAATTTACAACAGGCAGTTTTCCCAGAAAAGTCATTTCCGATATTACACACCTCAGTGATTTTACCTCAGATATTTCAGATTCCTGAAAATTAAGACAATGGCCCTGTGCAATGCCCTCACATCCTCTTTGGAGCCAACACAGCAGTGAGGATTTCTGCCCATGGCACTGGTTTTCTCTAGTTGAGAATGAAAGGACTCACCAATTTCCCAACCTCAAAATGAGACTGTGTGCCAAGCTTCAGTGTCCTGGTCGTCCCTCCCACAGATTGACTTCCTCTCTAAGAGAGAGGTTTGAAAAGACCCTACACTTCTAGAGGCCCCAAAGAAGTGGACAGTGACTTACTTAGCAGCTGCTGAATCTGAAGAGTAATGCCAATAGGACAGATGGAAAGTGCCATATATTCTCCAATCCTACCTTTAAGCCACCAGACCTGCTCTTATTAGGAAAAACTGTGCCAAGTTCCAAGATGCCCAAATTTCTGTTCTATTCTAAGTCTGACTTCTGACATAGAGTTTCTTCCCCCAGTCTTGGAGCTGTTTCCTTCTCTCTAGCTGCCCTTAGCACAGCCAAACACAAAAGTGGCTGCGTAGTAGCTGCTTAGTGCATGGATACGTGACAAATCGGCCGTCTCAGGAGCCAGATGTGTACTCGACTTGGGAGGTCCTGGGACGACAAGGGACCAAGAGGAACCAGAAGCACCCCTCCCCACCCAAAGGCTTGAGTCATGGCAGTCTTGTACAGCCCTGACAGCTGAAGATGGGAGGGGACAGAGGCAAAGACAGTCAGTCAGCAAAGTTTCTATTAAGCACATATTATGGGCCCGGCACTGTGCTAAGTGCTGGTGATACAAAGAAAGGCAAAAACACTATCCCTGCCCTCAAGGAGCTCACATTCTAATGGGGAAGGTTTATCTAGGCAGCAAGCACAGAAACCCCAAGGGGGCATCCTATACACCGGCCACCTAGGGTTTCAGAGGTGTTGTCTACACACAGTCTTGCCCTGACAACAATCTCATGCTTGGGCTCCAGCTGTACTTGTAGCCAGAAAGGGGAATCTGGGAGTGAGTCACCTCATCATTACTGTAGAAGGGCAAGGACTTACAGGGTCCTTGTACAAACAGGAGTAGGACACAGCTCCATCCTTCTTATCAAGCTAATTTAGATTCCTTGAGAGAAAACAGAGGATGCTGTACTACCCCTTTCGCCCATCTTCTGAGAAAGCCATTCTCCAGCTTCAAAATACCAGCTTTATAAGTTCAAGACAGGGAGGCATGGATGGGCAACACATTGTGTGAAAAAGATCTGGAGTTTTTAGTGGACTGCAAGCTGAATTAGTCTGACATGGAAGTCAAAAAAGCTAATGTGATTTTAGGTTACAGAAAAAAAAAACACAGTGTCCAGAACACAAGAAGTGCTGGTTTAATTGTACTTCGACACAGCTAGCTGGTATCTGAAGTGTTGTGTCCTTTGTTAAGCACCCTATTGGCAAATAGGATTGGGTGAGAAGACTAGGGACCATTGCTATACAAGGATCAGTCGAAGGAAAAACATTTTCAGTCTGGAGAAGAGGTTTCTCAGGGGAGAGAGCAAGGGAAAAAACCCACGATGGCTGTTTTCAAGTGTCTGAAGGCGTTTCCTATGGGAGTAAGATTTGACTTACAGTGCTTAAATTAGCCTCAGTGAGCAGAAGAAGGAGCAAAGGGGAGAAGTTGGAGAGGAAGAGACAGTTTCAACATTTTGATCAACCCAAGGGCTCTCCAAGGACTGATGAGGAAGCATGTCTGAAACACACTTTTTGGACATAGCCAATGTGAGAATTCATCTTGCTTGCTTATGCACATTTGTTACAAGGGTTTTGTTTTTCTCTTTCTTTCTTTTTTTCCAGTGGAGGCTAGTGGCCAGAGAAAATCATTTTTTGTTCACCGACAAAATTGAATTTAAAAAGAACCTCACTGAAGGTCTTCAAGCAAAGGATGGACAACTACCTACTTGGGATGCTGTGATAGGATTTCTGCTCACTTACGGATTGGTTTAGAGCAGGGATCCTTAAACTTTTTGTGTCATGGGCTCCTTTGCCAGCATCTGCTGAAACCTATGAACTCCTGAGAATAATGTTTTTAAATGAATAAAATAAAACACACAGGTTTACAAGAAAACCAATTCTACTGAAACAGTTATCAAAATATTAAGTTCACAGGCTTTTGGTCTAGATGGTTTCTGAGCTCCTCAGCTCCAGCATCCTGTGGGACCAATTCCTGACTTGTGGAAGGCCCTCAGAAGACCATTGTAATGGAAAAAGCTGAAGCCTTCAGGGCCCAAGTAAGAAGAGTTAGCATCTTCAGCTTGGTAAAGTGGCTGGTCACAGTTCTGGTTTGAACTACCTCAGCGAGGGTTTCTTTCTCCATTACAATGACCCTGCTGATTCCACACATAAATCTACTTCCTCTAAAGCAAAATTCAGATTCTATCTCCCCAAGAGGGCTAGAGAGACCCAGCAGCTTCAGGATGTAATGAATTCTTCCTCTGGCCACAGCCATGTAAACATGCATTTTTCTTTAACCCCTGCTGTTAGGAGGATTCCAGAATACGATCTCCGGTGACAATCCCCAGTCTAGAGTTAGACCCACCATTCACAGCTATTACCAGGACAATCGGTAAGAATGCACAGAGACCTGAGTTGAGTATGTCCTATCACAGATTTGGGGGCTTAGGAAACCCTGATATAGTCTCAAATTAAAAGTAGGTGGATATGTAAGGGTTTTTGTTTTTTTTTTTAAACTGTTTTCAGAAAATTGCTGCCTTTCTTTCCTGCTAGCATTCCAGAATTTTGGCATCAGAAAAAGCATTTGGCTCCAGCATGTCCCCTGGGCAAAGTCTGATCCCAACATGAGAAAGACTTCTCAGACGCAGTGTGATGTAGTGGTTAGAGCACTGGACCTGGAGTCAGTCAAGTTTAAATTCCAGCTGAGAAACCTACGAGTTGTGCGAGCAGGGGAAAGTCTCTTGGTCTCTCTGGCTTGGCATGTTTTTGTCACTGGAAAAATGAAGATAAATAATACCTGTAGTATCTACCTCCCAGTCCTGTCGGGAAGCTCAAATAAGATACTGTGATAAAGATTTGAAGCCCTCTGCAAAGCTTAAATCACTTTACAAACATAAATTATTACTTATCACTACTCTGCTGTAGGCTAGAAATTAGTCATCCAAGCATGAGAAAGGCTGCCTAGCCCCAGACCGTCCCTTGGGTTGACTGACACCAGCCTGATGCTCATCCCTAGCTTGTCCCCAAGACAGAGGGTGATCCTAGCATTTGGACCAATCAGTGCCAGCCAGTCCTCTGTGCTGAGGTGACTGACTGAGCAAAATAAGCGCAACCACAAAACAGAGAGAGAGAATGTTGCAGAATGAAAAAGAATAAGCATGGTCCAAAGAGGACATATGAGAAGATACCTCCTCCCACTCCTCTGCAGACAGAAGGTCCTTGGGCATGGAACAGAGCTTACATTTTCTGACTTTTTTGATGTTTTGCTTGGTTTTGCTGATTTTTTCTTCTTTTTCTTTAAAGATAGTCTTTGTTATATGGGATGGCTCTCTGGGAGGTGAGGAGGGATGGGATACTGGGAGACATGTAGGAAATGTTACAACAAAATATACCACTAAAATTGTATTTTTTTAAAATTAGCCTTGTCTAGATAGTGCTTCTGGGTCTGGTATAACTCAACAACATCCTCATAACTACTGGTACCCAGCTCTGCCTTCGGAGAGGAGTAAGCAGGATGAATATTTCTTGGCTTTTAGCAGACCAGATACCCCTGGGGCCACTGATTTCAGGATGGAGGGTTCCTCCATGCAGTCTATGCCCAGGTTCTCTCCATATGTATGTTCAGGTATGGGGAATTATCTGGAAGATGCTCTGTGCTTCTGCAAACAAGTCCTAGGAGCTTTCCCAAGAAGTCCATAAGGAAAGCTTCCCAAGCAAGCCCAAGCACCTGAGCATGAATTCCCTCCTCAAGAGATCTGAAGGCCCCTGGATCCATCCTCTCATCCAGTCATGGTTCTTCCCCTGACGCTGTCCCTGGGTTGGTGGTGCTGGACTCCTGTTCCTAGGCTCCAGGGTTAGCTGGGCAGCCAGCGCTGTTTCAATGCCTCCAGCATTCAATACTCCCAGCAGGGCACTATCCTCCCCTGCCCAGCTATGGGTCTGGAAAGCAGAGTCCTTGGAATGTGCACCAAATCTGTTGTGATTTTCAAGGAATTTGCATTTTGCATCACTGCAGAGAAACCAAGAAGGGCTGTCCAGGCGGCAGAATTCAAAGTTACAAATCAAAGTTTAAAGACTTACGCGGTAAGTGGCTGGATCCTGACGGTGAGCTTCAGCTCCTCTCATTCCACTGTGCTCTCACCTTGGTCCCACTCTCTTCCCACACAGCCCCTTAGTCTCTGAGCCTCCTTCCCCCTCACATTCTAAGGGAACATTTATAAGGTGCACTGGAGGCAATAAGCAGGCCCGATCACTATGTAAATGGGAGATGAGGCCGGTGTCCCAGGCAGTCCAGAGACCACTGTGAACGCCCGGGCTCCAAATGAAAACCCCCAACAGATCTTATGATGCAGCCCCTTCAGGAAACAGTGCTCCTTCTTCTTCATTTCCAGCATAAGCAGCGCTCTGTTTCTCTGTACCACCTGAAGCACTGACCAATCTCTTCAGCACCTGGTGCACTGACTAACTACCAAGGGCTTCAGGCACAGCAAATCAATGGGCATGACTATAGGATCTGACAGTAGCAGGACAAGTCAGAGGAACAAAGGTAAGAGGGAGCAGGGGCAGGTGAGGGGACGGAGAATTTGGACAGCTCTTGAGTTTCAAGGCAACTGAATCTGTGCATGCCACCTTTCACAGACGACAGGATGTGAGTGACCTCTGGGGTTGCTTTGAAACGAAGCACACACAGACTACTTTTCTGCATAAATTGTCTTTTCACTTGTGTCTCATGGCTAGTCTCTGCTACCGTCCAGGTCAGGGTCAATGTGTTTGAGCAATTCTCTTCAAGAGATTAGAATGGACTCCTAGAACTCCCAGGAACCTGGAGCCAATTCCCTGATGCCAAGCAGATAAATGCTGAAAATCAGTTCTAAGAGTTAGCTGAGTGTCCCATTTGATCTCATTTAACTCTTTCCACCAACCAAAACATTCTTCAGCTCTGGCTGTGGCCAGAATTCAGGAAGACCTGAGCTCAAATCCCACCTCAGACACTTGCAAGCTATGTGACCTTAGGCAAGTCATTTAATTGCTTTTTGCCTCAGTTTCCTCAACTGTAAAATAGGAATAATAACAACAGCACCTCTTCCCAGGGTTGTTGTGAGCATCAAATGTGATAATAATTGTAACTCGCTTAACACAGTGCCTGGCACAAAGTAAGAGCTACATATACGTTAGCCATTATTACCTATTATCATCCTGGCTCCAGCTGGGCACTGGTACGTCAGGATTCTGACACTGACTGGAAACTGTCCTTCTACATTCTTGAGATTGCCTCATGCCAGCCCTGACTAAAGATCAACTTATGGATCAGAAACTGGCAGAGACCCTAAGGAAAACCAAGGAGCTACGTGGGGGTGCTGAGCATGCTGACCACTGAAAATGTAGACTACAAGCTTCTAGAGGGTAGAGACTGTCTTGATTTTTGAATCTGTAACCTTAGTTCCTAATATAGTCTCTGGCACTCAGTCGACAATTGATAATTATTGATTAATAGTGGGGCCCACTCCTACCTCGGGTCTGTCTCTGTGTGTGTTCACAGCTTCAACATTCAGGAATATGGATTCCAATTTACAACCTATTGATACAAGACAAAGCAAATTAATTGGATGGAAACCATATGATCCTTGTTTGTGTGGGTCCCCATACCAGGACCCCCCCAAGGCTCAGTCTTTGGTCTTTGTTTCTCTTCTCCTTTAGAGCCTCTCCATTGGTGATCTATGACTCCCAATTATTACTTGAATGTAGGTGACCCTCAGATTTATATCTAACCCTGACCTCTCCCATGAGCTCTAATGCTGTATTTCCAAATCTTGCATCGACACAGATGTCCTGCCAGCGTTTCATATTCAATATGCCCAAAATTAGACTCATCATCTCTTCCTTAACCTGACTCTTATGAATGTCTCTGTCTCTTTTAGAAAGTAACTTCTTATTGACATTTTTTTTGCTTCAACTATATTTCCTACTGTTTTCCTCCTTCCATGAGATCCGAAATGAATAAGTAAAAAAAAAAACCAGGAAGAGAAAAAATTCAGCAAAACTAATTCACGTGTCTAAAAAGTCTACATAGTGTTCCATACCCATGGCTCTCTGCTTCTGCAGAGCACTCCTGTGGGCTTTAAGAATTTCACAGCTTGTAGCTTCAATTGTTTTGCTGTTGCTCTTTCCATTTATTTTGCCAAAGTCATCAGTACATTGTTTTGGTTTTTTTGGGGGAAATCTGTTTACTTTGCATCAGTTCATTTTTGTCTTTCCATGCTTCTCTGATGCAGTCATTATTTCTTACAGCATAGTCCTATCACATTACATTCACAAGCCTCCATTTGTTTGGGCATTCTCCAAACAATGGGCATCTGTTTTGAGTTTTCTGTTGCCACAAAAAGAGTTGCTATAACTATTTTGGTTTGTGTGTGGCTGGTGGGGGGGGTTGGGGGCTGGGTTTCTTTCTTTTTGTCATGAACTTTTCTATTTTGCTTCAGTGGGGCCAGGTGTTTTCTGAGTTTCTTTCTAACTAAGTCTCAGGGTTCTGTGATTCCCTCTCTGATCCACTCTTCACGACACTGGCAGAGGAATCTTCCTAAAGCACAGCTCTGATCACGTTGCTGCTCTGCTCTGAAACCTTCAGTGGTTCCTCACTGCTTAATGAACTAAGTATATACTCCAAGATCAAGGCATTCAGTGTCGACCAGAGCCTGGCCCCAACCTGTCTTTTTAGCCTTATTTCACATTATTCTCTTTTACATAATCTGTGCTCCAGCCAACTAAGATTACGTACAGTCCTCCGTTATCACCCTGCCCTCTTTCATCTCCCTGACTTTGTTCATGCCAACTTCTACACCTGAAACAGACTCCCCAGCCCCCAGCCCATCTCCTCTGCATCTCCATCTACTGAAATCCTGGCCTTCCTTTAACATCCAACTCAGTTACTACCACAGCCGTGAAATGTTCTGATATTCCTAGCAATTTCTCACTCCCAAACCTCCCCATGATACTCCAGACTTATTATTTGTACATGTCATATTATCTTTGGTATTATAGTTATCTGTGTATATGAATAAACTCCCTATTCAATTAATCGCTCTACTCTACTCACTAAACTCCAAGAGATCAGACACCACATCTATTTGCACCCCCTAGTGCCAACCCCAACAAGACTCTGCACATAGTAGGCTTTTAAATGCTTGCTGAATTCACTTGAAAGGAATGACATCTGAAACCATTTAGTGGTGTGAGATTTTCCCAAAGGGGGCCCAAGAAGCAGCTAGACTAAATGTACCAGCTGCGAGCTCATGTTACAATCTCTCCCCTTTACTGTATTTCTCAAATTCAACATTACTCAGGCTTGAGTAGGATCAGCTAATCCCTTCCAATTGTAATGGCAAAATTGGTGGCTGTTCCCCAAACAAAAAAAAGTACTCTCCATCTTAAGCTGGCGCTTCCTCAGGCCCTCACCAAGGCAAGACGCCTTAGGAAGAAATTTGCTTGGGAAACGTGTGTGTGACTCCCTCTTAGAGAAGAGCTAAAACAAATAAATGTCCCATCTTCACACAAGATCAGTAAATACCCAGCCCAGAGAATCAATAATGACATAGGGCCCACACACTATCTGCTTTAAAAGCCAAAATCTTTGGAACAGGAGATGGTGAGTATTGGAATCAATGGGACATGATTACTCTTCTCCCCTTTCTTCTGGAACTTAAACAAAACCCCCTACACATACAGTAACTTTGGGAAATCTCTTGTTAGTTCACTTTTATAAATCTCTTATCTCCTAGGTGATGTCTGAGACTCTCATTCTTATTCATTCAATACCTAGGTCCCCTGGAATACCTGACTAGATCACAGCATACACTCTTTGGCACATTCAGGCAGAGTGATTGGGCTGGAAGATAAAGAGCAGGTCTCTTCCCTTACCGTAGGCCACTGGGGTTAGCTTTAAAACCGTGTGCAGCGGGCACTTGAGATAAGGCAGCTGTTCTGAGAAATATAAATGAGGAAGAAAGTTAGTCATATCACAGAAACACCGAATTCTCCCAAAGCACAAACAACCTCGACTGAAAGGCCTTTGCCCAAAGCCCACCACAGGCATTTCCTGTTCCCAACTGCCCTTCCGTGCATGGCATGGACACAAAGACATCCCTGGCGGCGTTTGGGTGTTCCCAGGGCTGGGCAGTACCACCTTTGGCACCCATACCTGCAGTCTTGTCTAGAAAATAGGCAAGCAGGCAGCGCATTACGGCTTGGTGACAGATCACAAGGACATTCTCCTGCCTCTCCAGCTCCATAATTACTGGCTCCAGTCTCTGTACGAGGTCTTCATAAGACTGAAAGAGAACAGAATTGTTAAGTAGAGGTGACAGATCAAATTCCAGCAGGGGTGGAATAGGATGGAGTGGGATGAAGAGGAAGAGTGGCCAGGACCCAGTGGTCGGGTTGTGCAAATAAGGGAAGTGAGTATGTGCACACCTCTTTCCGATGCCACAGTCCTGAAAACAATAATGTCCTCCCTAACCCTTCCTAAATCTGACCTTTCCTCTAGCCAGTAAGGCAGAAACTGATCCACAGTGAGGCAACAGGAGGGGAATAAGTTGGTCTCCCCACCCCCACAAGTATACCCTTAACCACCAGTTTCAATGTCATCACTGGGGCCTCTTGTGCTCCAGTGATTGACGTCACAATGACAACTAGGGCTTCAGAGCCTTCGGTTCAATCTCTCAATCTATATAGAGATCCCGTCTATAGATCCTCCCCTACAGATAGCCAGGGCAGCTAGATGGCACAACAGATAGAGTGCCAGGCCTGGAGGAAGGAAAACCTGAGTTCAAATCTGGCATCAGACATTTACTAGTTCACCCTGTTTGTCTCTGTTTCCTCATCTGTAAAATGAATTGGAGAAGGAAACAGCAGTATCTTTCTCTCAAAGATACTCTCCAGTATCTTTGTCAAGAAAACCCCAAATGGGGTCACAAAGAGTCAGACACAACTGAAAACGGTTAAAGGACAACAGCAGGTGGCCACCCAGACATTGAACACAGTCAATGACAGGGCACTCACTATGATTCATGAGGTAGCCCATATTGAACTCAAGTCCCAGATCCTTTTCACATGAACTCCTGTCTAGCTATAGTTCTCTTATTCTTTTTTTTTTCTTTTTAGGCAATTGGGGTTAAGTGACTTGCCCAGAGTCACACAGCTAGTAAGTGCTATGTGCCTGAGACCAGATTTGAACTCAGGTCCTCCTGACTCCAGGGCCAGTGCTCTATCCGCTGTGCCACCTAGCTGTCCCTTAAGAACTGATTTTGTGGGGCATGTATCATACCACTGGAATCTCTGTTATCTGCACGGTCAGGTTGTAGGTCCTCAAGAAGCACCTGCTGATTTGGGTGCAAAAACAGCTGTCTCTGATGTTGGATGACAAGAGACAGATTCCATGAAAGAGGTCTAGGCTATTCAAATGACCCTATGCCCCAAAGGGCACAGTGGACTTCACTGGATGACTCCAAGAGACCTAAATGCACCTAGGGCCTCTTGGTGACACTATCTAGGACCCTTCTAGATGAGATGCTGAACCACAGAGGATTAATTAGCATTGGACAGGAAGGACCTACAGACCTGGCCTTCTTCAAATGTCTCCCACAACTCTGTGGACAATGAGGGGCTGCAATGGGGGCAATTTTTTTTCCTTTTCCTTTTTTTAATTCAGTTTTATTTTATTTTCAGTTCCAAATCTTCTCCCTTTCTCCTCCCCCTCCTCCATCCATTAAGAAAGCAAGAAAAACAAAATGTACTATCATGAAAAACAAATTTCCACTTTAGTCGGGTCCAAAGAAAAAGGAAGAAAACAAAATATGCTTCAGTCTAAACTCTGAATCTATCAGCTCTCTACCTGGGGGTGGGCAGAATGTTTCATCATGAGTCCTTTGGAATTATGGTAGGTCATTGCGTAGATAAGAGTTCTTAAGACTTTTGAAGTGTTTATCTTTACAACTGCTACTGTATAAATACTGTATAAATTATATAAATTGTTCTCCTGGTTCTGCTTACTTCACTTTGTATCAGTACACACAAATTTTCTCAGGTTTTTCTGGAACCATCCTCTTCATTACTTCTATTTTTTGTTTTTGTTTTTTTTTTTGCCAAGTAATGGTGTTAAGTGACTTGCCCAGGGTCACTCAGCTAGTGTCAAGTATCTGGTCTGAGGCTGGATTTGAACTCAGGTCCTCCTGACTCCAGGGCCGGTGTTCTGTCCACTGTGCCGCCTAGCTGCCACCCCCTTCATTATTTCTTAAAACACAACAGTATTCTATCATATTCATATACCATAACCTGTTCAGCTATTCCTCAACTGATGGGCATTCCTTTAGTTTCCAAATCATTGCTACCACAAAAAAAGCTGTTATAAATTTTTTTTATATGGGTCCTTTTCTTTTTCTCATCTCTTTGGGAGTAGAGGCCTTGTAGTAGCATCACTGGGTGGGAGGGCATGCAGAGTTTCATAGCTTCAGGGACATACTTTCAAACTGCTTTCCAGAATGGCCAGGCCACTTCACAGCTCCAGTACCAGTGCATTAAAGTACCTGTTTCCCCACAGCTCCTCCAGCATTTGTTTTCATTAATCTGATTATTGTAAGGTGGTACCACAGAGTTATTTTAATGTACATTTCTCTAATTATTAGTGATTTAGAACATTTGAAAAAAAATGGCTATTGATAGCTTGGATTTCTTCCTCTGAAAACTTCCTGTTTATATCCTTTGACTATTTACCAATTTGGGGGGGGGGGCGCCAAGTTTTCAAATCAAACCATTAAACTAAACTCAATTTGCAGTATCTGGGGGGAGGCTAATTGTCTTTGGGAACCTTCAGGCCAGAGATCTGTCTTGCTTAACTCCTAGCAGGGGGCCAGCTGGAAGCCTCTGTCACTTTACAATAAATTTTAATTTTAATTTTTTATTCTAAACTTCATAAACACCAAATGACATGAGCATTTACATAATACATGGTAAATCAGAAAAAGAGGGACACACATGAAACTTCAGATCTCTATTATCTAGAGCTTACTTTTCAAATATAAAATACGTTCAACTTGTAGCTTTCAAAACTATCTTTCCTGATTCTGCTTCTTTCTGGCCTTTCTTTTGTTTTCCTCTTGGCATTTAAAAAAAAATCGATGCCCCCAATGGCCCTTTTTTCTTTCTTTTTCTTTTTTTTGGATACCATTCCTATTCTCCCTCACCCTTCAACCCTCCCCTACTGGGAAGAAGTCCATGTAACAAACATGCCTAATCAAGCAAATCAAATTCCCACACTGAGTCTGCACCACTAATAAAGGCCAGAAGAGGGCAGCAGCAGCATCAGGTTAATCCAGAGCTCCAGATGGGGACTGTGCCTCTCAGTGCTGGGTGACGGAAGCAAGGGCCCTTTGGTATCTTAAGGGATTGGCACAGCTGAGGTTTGACACTGACACGGCTGAGGGTACTGGGCCTAAGAGAGATGGAGTGAATTTGAATGAAATTGTCCTCGCTAGCAGTGGGTCACCTCCCATGGGAAAGGTACAAAGCCACCTTAAGCCAGTCTCCACAGAGCAGGCTCAATTCTCCAGATATTCTCCTGGGATCCAGTTTACCTCCTTCAGGGGACAGAGCAAGGTCCTAAGTTCATGGGGGTGAATGTTGGCACTTCTCCAACACTGGAAATTATTTCTAGGGACACTGAAGTGGCCAGACCTTCCTCAGGGGCTAGAAAAGTTCCAGGGAATTCATGCCCAAGTCAGAACCATCCCCGTGCGGTGACCTCAGAATCAGGATTGGTCAGGTATAGGTGGACAAGGGCCACGCTGCTCTCCTGGGAGACCCCTCTTCAGGATGGGACTGGGGGGATTACTGGTAGTCAAGGTCATACAGGAGCTGTTACAGCTGTAGCCACAACTCTTTATCATTTCTCTATGTCCATGGCAAGAGACAAGCAGTGACCCCAGACCGCCAAACCCTGGGAGGCCCATCTCTAAATCAGAGGTTCTATCTTGGGGTATGTAAGCTGATTTTCTAATATTTTGATGGCTGTATTTCAATATATTTAATGTCCTTTGCAATTCCAGGTACTTAGTCTTACTAATTAAAAAACATTGTTCTGAGACGGGATCCTGAGGCTTCATCAGATAGCCAAAGTGGTCTATGATACGACAAAAGGTTAAGCACCCATGACCTAGATAATGATAATGATAAACTCTCTTCTCTTCACTCCATATAATGAGATAATGATAAGCCCTCTTCTCTTCACTCCAGCCAAGCCTAGGCTCACAAAGATCTGAGACAGGTCCTAGATCAGGGCCTGAAGAAAGGACACATACCTCTCCTTTTGGGTATCGGTATCTATACTTGTCTTGATCCCGAAGTGCAAACTCTAGAGGGTGATGCTCTTGAATTTCTTCATAAGTCATTTCTTCACAGACACCCTTGAAAACAAGACCAGAAGGCATAACCTTTATCACCCCCCAAACTATCGATCTCCTATCCCTAGAGCTCCAGGTGTCAGAGCTACCTACCCTTCAGCTTGGAGACACTAGCATTATTATGGGGTAACTAGGAATTACCCACACACTCTGGAGCTCTCAGTCACCCAGATATTGTCCCCTACTCTGAGCCTTCATATTGTAGGTATTGCTCCCTCGTCCTCAGCCTGGAAAAATGAGGTCCAATATGAAGGGCCACCACTTTGTGAGAAGGGTGGGCTCAGGAATCAAGAACCTTGCCAGCCAGTATGGATAAGTTAGGAACGTACCCCACTTCCTGACTGGTAGGACCTCTGAGCCTGGATAGGGAAACATGATACATAAGGAAAATAAAATTTAAAACAACAGGCAGCTTATGCTAAGGAACACAGTAGGGGCTCTAGTAGTTTGGAGAAGCTAAGGCCCCTGAGGACCGGGGTTAACAAGGGGCTTTTTGGAAGGGGTGGCATCTGAGCAGGGCCTTGAAGAATGGGTAGTATCTTGATAGGTGGAGAGTAAGTGGGAAGAATTCCAAGCCAGAGGAAGAATATTAGTAAATTATAGGGATGGGAATCTATATAGAGTATAAACAGTGAGGAGTCATCTCTATGGAAAGTGCTCATGGAGAGTAAGGAGAAGTAGAAGATACATGTACTGGCACTGATCTCACCAAAGATGCCTGACATGGTGTCACTGCCTAGTCCAGGCTGTTTGCTCTGGTGGGAAACCAGGGCCTGGGATTGGAGTATGATGGCCATGTGACCCTAGGGATAGGCTGCAGAAGGCAGCTGTTTGGAAGGCTAGGACTGGAAAGACAAGATTGCACCATGTTGTACAGAGTCCTGAAAGCCAGTCTGTACTTTACCTTGTGAGCAACTGGGAGCCAATAAAGGGTTTTGAGTACAAGAGTGACATGAACAGCTCCAGTCATTGGGAAAATTACTCTGGGCAGACTGTGTGGGATGGACCAAAGGGGGAGAGAATGGAAGTGAGGTAACCAGTCAGGCAGCTGATTTAGTTGTGTAGGTGAGAAGTGATGGGGGCCTGACCTAGGGCAAAAGCCCTATTAGTGTGGAGACTGGAGGTCCTCTCCCAGGGCACCAGTCCTGGGATGGATTTTTCAGGGATAGAAGTCAGTTCTTTTCCACTTCAGCCTGCACATACAGCCTTGAACATGTCCCTATTTGACCTATAGACAAGATCTACTCTAGACTTCACCGTCATTGCCCAAGTGAATAGAATCATGTCTCCACTTGTGGATGGGGTAAGCAGGTGAGTGGATATGATATTCACTGCAATGGCGACAAGGTATGTGTATGGGGAAACTTACCGCATCAATTTCATTCAGAACCTTCCACTGCTCATAGGGGACACCCAGGGCCTCTGCAGTTTGAATTGTCCTCTTCATTTGGCTAGTCCAAACCTTCAGATCTTTGATATTCTGATCATTAATGAACTGGGCCAAGCTCTTAGCAAACTGAGGGCACAAAGCAAAATCAGACTCAGAAAGTGTGGACTTGCCTTTCGTTCATGGGTTCCCTGAACTCCCCACAAAGTAGAAACCACCCAATCAAATCATAGCACCCCTTCACTTGTGTTTCATCAAACATGAGAACATCTCCCACTTCCCTCAACCAAACAAAGCCTGTCCTGATTATAGGTCTGTACAGATGGATCATCTGTAACTAAACCTGACCAAGTCAAATTCTGAGTGATTATGTGCTCTGGATTGCCCACCAAGAGCAGGACAGTGGTTCTGATGTCAGAATGAATTCCAAAACGGTCTCAGTGAATTCCTTAAGGGAGTCCTGGCTGCTCAAATGTCTTGAGAATTCTTTTGCCTGTTGTCAAAGAAGTGCCAGCATAAGTCTGGCTCACCCCCAAGCTGAATTCACCCCTATCAATTAGGGACTGTGATCTTTCCATCCCTGCACCCTACCATTCCCTTAGATTTCTGCCCTCTAATCCTCATCTCTTTCACAGCCAAAGTCCTAAAAAAAAAAACCCAAAAAACAAAAACCTGTTTACACTTATTGTCTCCATGTCCTGTCCTCTCACCCACTTCTCAATCCCTTGCAATTCAGTTTCTGACTACGTCATTCAACAGAAACTTCTCTTTCCCAAGTTACTAATGACCCTATTACCAAATTCAATAGACTTTTCTCAATCCTCAATCTTTTCGACCTTTCTTCAAGAATTTATAACTCTTACTTCCTGAATATTCTCTCTCTGTTGGGTTTTAGGTTTTTTCTTCCCTCTCTTGGACCATTTCTCAGTCTCCTTTGCTGGATCATCATCTTCCAGTCCTCAACCCCTAACTAGGGATATACAACAAGGCCCTAGGCCCTCAAATTCTTTCTTTCTTTCTCTCTCTCTTTCTCTCTCTCTGACCTCATCAGCCCAGTTCCCATAGGTTATATTACAATCAATTACGCAGATGACTCACAAATATAAACATTTGCCCTAGCCTCTCTCCTGAGCTCCAGAGTCTTGCATCTCCAACTGCCTTCTAGACATTTTGAATTGGATATCTCAGAGATATTTCAAACTCAACATGTCCAAAACAGAACTCATCATCTTTCTCCCACCCCTGCCCAAACCTCCCCTCCTCCAAACTTCCTTATTTCAGTCTAGGTGCCGCCTTCCTTTTAGTCACCCCAATTTGCAGCCTCCTAGTCATTCCTGATGCCTAAGTCTGTCACTTCCCATATCCAATTAGTTCAACGGCCATCTCCTATACAAGCCCTTTCCTGATCCTCCCAGCAACCAGTGGTTGTTCAGTCATGCCCAACTCTTCATGCCTCACCGGCTACTAGTACCTCCCAAAAGATATTTCCTTGTATCTACTTTTCATATATTGTATGGGGGGATAGTGAGAGCCAGTCTTAAAGTTAGGAAGACCCACTTCTGATACAAGACCGGATGAGTGAAACCAGGTAAACTGCTTAACCTCTCAGTACTCTTGCAAATGCTGAGCTACAAGTTGCAGAGAATATGTCAACTTGCACTGATAGAGCTTTCACAGTTGGGAGCTCCCTAGTGAAATCACAGGACTTTTCTCTATCCGTAAATCTTACATATACTTATAAGGGTGTTCCAAAAGTCTTAGTGCTGTTTTTAGCTTTAATAACTTCACTTGAAACATTAAGTTTTTAAAATATGTTTTATTATAATTCAATATAACTGCCATTTTGTGCCTTAATCAATTCCAAAACTTTATCAGCTGCCACTCATGACTGAAAAGATTGCATTTGTAATCCCAGTCTTAAAATCATTCAAACGACAAGTTTTGTTGTGTTTTATGTGTACATGATAGTTTTAACGTGACTCCAAAAGAATGCATCTAGTGGAGCTAGACCAGGTGACTGAGGAGGCCAAGCAAGAGGACCTCCAGTACCTGGTCTGAGAAAGTGTCATCCAGAAAAAAACAAAATAAAACCGAAAAACTGTTGCACACACAATACATAACAACAAGGTGCTTTGGTTAAAATTTAAATAATTAAGCTTTCAATGAAAATGACATTTTGTCAGTGTGTAACATTTATATTTCTGAGGTTATTAAAGCTTAAACCTGCACTTAAACTTTTGGGATACCTTATACCTGTATATGCTGTCTCCTCAAAAGAACGCAAGGCAGGGAGGGACTGCTTTATTTTTGTCATTGTAGCTCCAGTGCTTAGAACAGTGCCTGTCACTAGTTTGAGCTTAATCAATACTTGCTGATTGACTGACTTCCCAGAAAGGACAGTTTGCCTCAACATCCAGTGAGTTGAGCAGCCACCAGAGTGGCCACATTTAAGGCAGCTCCCAGAGTGCCACAAGCTTTCCACCAAGACCTGAGGATCCCCGTGATTCTGCAAAACGTCCGATACAGAGCAGTGCAACTTTCTAAGGAGAAAAGCTAAAAGGACCATCCTAGTCCAAGTCGTGTTAACTTAGGCCCAGGTAATGAGCACTGATGCAAGGAAATCTATGGAAGATGGTGTCTGCCCACCCTGGAGGTCCTCAGGTCTACTTCTCACAGCAGGAAGGGGACTTTCATCAACTCCCACACCCACGACTTCCTGCACGGAAGCTGTGCCATCCACGTGAGCTCAGTCCAGCTGGGCTCTAGGAAGGGAGGGAAGCTCCAGGTGGAAAGATTCTACAGTGCAGACACCTAAACCTTGGCCCAGACTCCTTCTATCTGTCAGTCACTTTACCCTCCCTTAGATTCAGTTTCTTCATCTGCAAAATATAATAGTGATCACTTACCCTACTTACCTCCCAGGGATGTTGTGATGGTCAGAAGAGAAAACCTATGTAAAGCACTTTCTAAATGTAAAGAGCTATGTGAGTATCAGCTATCATCACCATTGTGAAATTATCATCACATACCTCCTTCCCCCTTGGGGACAGTCCCGTGTCCCCACCTATCCTTCCTTTGAGATTCAGTTCACTTTCTCCATGGCGACAGAGGTAGATGGATCGAGGGGTCACATGAATATTCATGAGGTAGTAAACAATGCGACTCTGAATGTGGTCCATCACTCGATTTACCAGGTAACTCCGCCCCACATCCATGATCTTAATGTAGGAGAGATCCCTTTCCCCCACAGGGGAGGGAAAGAGGGAAAAGGGGATGGGAGACAGAAAGGGGGCCAGAGAGAGGAAGGAAGTTGAGGAGAGAGAAGAAAGTGAAGGGGAAGGAGAAAGATACCGGGAAGGAGAGGAGATAACAGAAGGAGAAACACAGATGGGGGAAAAAAGCGGAGAGAAAGAGATAAAGGGAATGAGGGAGGGAGAGACAGAGACATGAAGAGATGGAGTGGGAGGAGACAGAAAAGTGAAGGAGAGGAGAGAGACACAGAAAAGGGGACATGATGAGAAGGAAGAAAGCAGAGCAGCAGATAAAGCGAAGAATAAGGAAAGGCAGAGAGAAGGGAACGAGAGTCAGAGGAAAAGGGGAGGGGGGAGGAAGACAGAAAGGGAAGATAGGCAAAGGAGAAAGAAGACAAAGAGAAAAATGGAAAGAGAGACTCATTAGGATAGCCCAAGCTTCCAACTCAAACTCCATTGGCTCAAATAAAAAGGACATTTCAATCAAATTCTTAGCTATTTGTGGACAAATTCTAGCTCCTAACATCATCTCATTCGTGGCACACACTTCCATAACAAAAGGTCTTTGCAAACAGCTTAGGTTCATTAGTTGACAGAGGACAGGGCAGCAGGAGGCCATTGTGATGCTGGTGGGATTGGACAAGGATCACACATGTGCTCTCTAGGCTTCTAGTGTAACACTGAGGGGTTCACTTACACACCACATGTGACAAACAATCTGACCTGCAGAGCAGTAGAATCTCTGGCCCAAGGAACCACTTTTAATGGAGTTTATTGACCTTTCATAAAACAAAAGGCCAAGTGAGTCTGTCCCAAGTTTTCACTCTCACCATGCTCTTCATGTCCCCTGTAACCCCTTCACTCATGCCTCATCTGTGAGTCAAACCAAGAAGCCATTTTAACAACTATTCACCTCAAAAAGACCTGGCCAGGTTGGTAGATATCACTCCCAGTGTCCCCCCCTAAGGTTTTTCAGGCTATAGGAATGCAGATTTAGACCTGGAAGGGACCTTGGGGGCCATCAAGTCCAATGCCTTCCTTTTACAGATCGGGAAATTGAGGCACAGAGAGGTGAAATGACTTCCCCTAAAGTCCTTCAGCTAGTATGCATCTGAGTGGGGATCTGGATGTTCCTGACTCTAAGTCCTGCATTCTCTCCATTACACTGTTCACAATCTCTCTCAGTACTCATCTCCCTTTTTTCACAAAGGAGCTAGAGGTCAAGTTAATCCCCTCTCATCTATAGAGGAGACCCATGCAAACATTTGTCCAGAGGTCTGCAATGTGCCTAATGCTGGCTAGGCTATGCTGAATGTGGATGGTGAACGTGGGAAGGAGAAACAAAAAAGGCTCAATAAAAAAAAAAGAGGTCTTCTTTGTGCCTAACACTGGGTTTGGCTATTCAATAGGAAGGGGGAAAGGAAGAAAGCAATGAAAGATCAGTAGCCAGCTTTCAGTGAGCTGTGTGGTATAGGAACAGGGCATTCACCTAGCTCCAGGCCTCAGAGATTTTGCAATCTAAAGGCATTCCGAGTGCAGGTGCAAAAGGGATAGGATGGTGTCTGTGAGCCAAAACTCTGGGATAATTCTCAACATTCTCACACAGCTCTTCATGAATAGCAACGGTCCTGTTTACCCTGGGAACTTTTCTGTTGTCACCACTAATCATCACAGAAATAAAAGCATGCAGGACAATAATTGTCAGAAGAATAAAAGAAACTACTTGTTAGCCTCCACAGCTATTGGAGCCAGAAGGAATCCAGCCAGGGACCCAGGCAAAGGGGTGAGCCTGGAAATGAACAGGTCAGATCCGGCCCTATGCTTTTCCTGTAGCCCAAACCGGCAGACTCAGCCCCCAGCAGTCAACACCAAAGAAGTTCAGGGTACCACTGGTTACCATCCAGGGAAGGCAGTGAGGTTGGCTGGGAGTTGCTCCCTGGGTCTTAGGGAGGGATCACTTCAGCTTATTCTAGAAGCATGATCAGAAAAGGCTATTTCAATGGGATTTTAAAAGATCTTATTTTTTTTTTCCTTTTCTCTAGGCAGCTAGGTGGCATAGGACTTTGAGTCAGGAAGTCCTGAGTTCAAATCCTGCCTCAGATATTTATTAGCTGTGTGACCCTGGGCATATCCATTTAACCCTCTGCTTGCCTCAGTTTCCTCATCTATAAAATGGAGATAATAACAGCACCTACCTTCCAGGGTTGTAGTGAGCATAAAAATTTTTGTAAACCTTCAAGTGTTAAATAGTAAATGCTAGCTACTGTTGTTGTTATTTCTTGCCCTCACCCCCAAGCAGTTCAGGAAGAAGACTTGCCTTAGATGGCCAGATGAGATAGGAAAGAAGAAGGAAAGGGCCTCTCTAACCAGGCTACTGAAAGATACTTCCTGACAAGTCTGCTTAAGGAGGCCTGACTCTTCCTGGGACCAGGCAGCAGCGACACTTACTTGTCCAGATTTTCATCCAGTGTCTCATAGGAGTTCTTGTAGCATTCAATCCTGTTCATGAAATCTTCTGTGGCTTCATCATTCCCACAGTCAATGTAGTCGGGACTGCCCAGCTTCACTTGCTATGAGAAAGAGAAGAAAGGACAGTGAACCGTGGGAAGAAAGAAGATGATGAAAGAGAATTAATCATTTTTCCAGCTTTCAGGCCGCAGCAGTAAAGGGAAAATGCTACCCAGGGAGAAACTGTGCTCAAAAGTAGCTCTGTACACATTCTATTCTCAAAGTCCTTTGGATGAATAGACTTTTCTGGCAAAATGCAAAAGTCCCTCCAGAGAGAATTACCCTCCCTTTCACCTGTCTCTAAGTCAGGCAACATCTAAGTTTTGATAGGGAAATAAAGTGGAACAGACAGGAGAGGGACTACCAGGGTGGGAAGCCTGTATAAGGTGAGGCACTCTAGATAGCCAGAGGGTGTCAAGGCTGGAGCGTGGAAGGAAGGATGTGGGAAATGGGTTCAGAAAAGGAGGTAGGAGAGGGATTTATAAAGGGAGGTTGGGGGAGAGGAGGCCTACCAAAGGAGTGTGGTTGGTCATTAATCCTCGAGTTATGGTTTTGGGACTAATTTATAAAATTTAAAATCTTGGCTACTCTCCATCTAGGCTGGGCCAGGCCCACTTCTCTCCTTTCCCTTGGTGTTTTCCTTATCTAATCTCACCAGCCTCCACTCTAGGTACATAAGCAAACCCTCTCCTACTCCTTTTTTTTTTAAATGATGCAAGTAACGTTCCCAGGAAATTGTCCATTGTCATGATGCTGAGTATAACTGGCTGTGTCAGACAGGAGGTGGGGAAGAGAAGAAGAACAGAGTTCCAAGAAGCCTTTCTTCGGCCAGGGTCTATTCTAGCTATACCGTGGTCCCCTTTGCTAATGCCAAGCAAAGACTCAGGCTGATTGACTCACCACAATGTTGGCAGCAATGACATCAGGATCCACACAGACTGATTCAACAAAGAAGGTCTGCAGCCTCAAATCCAAGGAATTAAGGACCCCCAAAAGGGAAGAAACCAAGACAGAAAAGGGACATAGTTGGGCTACATGTGTTATCTGCTGGGACAACAACTTCAAGTTTAAAATCACTGCTCAGACATTGAGATTCCTTTCTCCCCAGAGGGCAGTGCTTAACTATCCCACTACTCAGGGCACGCAAGTCCCTCTCCCAGGGAATAAGCTACCCTAGCAGCAGGAGACCCCTCTCTTAATAATATTAGCTAACATTTACATAGCACAAGGTTTACAAAGTGCTTTACACATATCATCTTCACAACAACCCTGTAAAGTAGGGGCTATTATTATCCTCATCTCCATTTTACACACTGGGAAACTAAAGTACAGAGAGGTTTAGTGACTTGCCCAGGATCACACAACTGGTAAATATTTGAGCCAGGATTTGAACTCAGATCTTCCTGTCTCTCAGTTGAGTACTCTATTTGCTACGCTACCTAGCTACCTGATTTCTTTTAGAAACACTCCTCAAGTTTGTATCCCAAAGAGATTTAAAAAAAAAGAAAAGAACCTATTTGTACAAAAATACTTATAGTAGCTCTTTTTGTGGTGGCTAAGAATTGGAAATTGAGGGGATGCCCATCAATTGGGGAATGGCCGAACAAGGTGTGGTATGCTATTGTGCTATAAGAAATGATGAGCAGATGGATTTCAGAAAAACCTGGAAAGACTTAACATGAAATGATGCATGAAGTGAGCAGAACCAGGAATTCACTGTACACCTTAATGGCAATATTGTATGATGATGGACTGTGGATGCCTTAGCTATTCTCAGCAATACAATGATCCAAGACAATCCCCAAGGATTCATGATGAAAAATGCTATCCACCTCCAGAGAAAAAACTGATGTTATCTGAATATGGACTGAAGCATACAATCTTTCTTTCTTTCTTTCCCTCTCTCTCTTTCTTGTCTTTTTGTACAAAATAACTAATATGGAAATGTCTTATGTGATTGCACATGTATAACCTATATCAGACTGCTTACCATCTCGGGGAGCAGTGAAGGGAGGGAGGGGTAGAATTTGGAACTCAAACGTAAAAAAAATGTTAAAAATTGTTTTTACGTGTAATTGGGGAGAAAAAATATTAAAGTGTTAACAAAAAAAAAAAAAGAAAAGAAATATTCCTCAAAGCTCAGATTCTAAGAGGAGGTTCTTTCCTAGGAAAGTCCTACTCCAGGGCTCAAAAAATACAAGAGCCCTTCTCTCAGGGCTCAGACAGTGTGAGGCATCTTTCCTAACAGGCACGGAGCCTTAGAGCTCAGATGGCAATATATCTCTCTCCCAGTGAGTCACATCCCAGCTAAGGAAGCAAGCCCTTGCACGACCTCCTAATGCCCCAGAATTCTTAGCTCAGGGGATAGACCACAAATGAGCCCTGGTGGACAGACAAACCATAGAGGTACTAGTGGTCGGAGACCTGGCTCCCCTGGTCAAGAAACACAAGTCAGGCAGCCAGAGAGTCACCTTGTAGCCGTTCTCCTCTCCAAATTTAAAGATGGTCTCTCTGCGTTCTCGCGTTGTGTTTGTGGCATCAAAAACCTAGAGTCAAATGGAAGAATGTGACTACATATAGTCATTAGCATTTGACAACAACAATAAAAGGCCTACCACGCTTTCAACATCAGGTTTGGAAAAAACAGTTCCTATCAATACCAACTAAGAAAAACTGGATGTTACAGAGACTGGAAGGGAACTAATTAAGGGGTAGAAGGGAAGGGAGGACTGAGAGAGCTTCAAGGGGGAGAAGAATGAAGCTACTCCCATGGCAGATTCTGGTTTGAACCACCTGCTTCATCTCCTCAACCCTCTGTCAAAATGAGAACTCCTTCCTCCCTCCAGGGCTGGAACAAGGATTAAACACACATGCATTCATGAGTACAGAGAGCAGGTGTTCGGTACACAGAAAGCCCTGAGCTGACAGAATAGAACGGTTCTACTTTGACAATCATGTAGGTGGGCTACTAGGCCCTTAGAGCCCCTTTTGTCACTTGACTGACAAATACTGCTTGGAGGGGGCAGGGAAGGGGGCGGGGACACATCCTGGTGAGGTCCTGATTTTTCAAAGCTGGTGAGACGTGGTCTGTGCCCATCAGGGACACCATGAACCCCAAAACGGGGGCATGTCTGTCTAAAGTCAATCCCCAAAGCACTTCCCCAGAGCCTGGCTTGGGAATTTCTACACCCACCTCGAGATCAGGGGCTCTTTACCATTTTTGTGTCATGGATCCCTTTGGCAGTCTGGTGAAACCTATGGACCCTTTCTCATAATGTTTTTAAATGCAAAAGATCAAATCCATAGGATTACAAAGGAAACCAATTATATTAAAATATGGTCATCAAAATATCAGAAAATCAAGTTGACAGATCTTAAATTAAGAACCTTTGCTCTAGACACAAAAAATAATGATAATGATGATAGCTCACATTTACCTTAAGGTCTGCAAAGTACTGTTCACATACTATCTCACTTGGGCCTCACAACAACCCTGTGATGTAGGTACTAATATCATATTCATTTTACAGATTGAAAGGTTAAGTGACTTTCCCAGGGCTACAGAACTAGTAAGTGTCTAAGGCAGGATTAAAATCTACGTCAAGTCTTGTATTCTATTTACTACACCAAGGGGAACAGAGTCACAAACCATTAAAGCTTTTTATCCTATGAGATGTTAGAACAGCTCCCTCAGACTTGGGGGGGGGGGGAGGACCTAACAAAATTCCATCATTCTTTGGGGTCCAAACTCTCAGCCCTGAGCATGGCATAGTTCAACTCGAAGGATATGCTTCCCTGAGGTTTCCTTCTCCTAACTCAGAAGTAGGAAAGTAACTTTCACAGGGAAAAGCCTCACTTCTCACAGGGGTCTTGGGATTTGGCAGCCTCGAAGAAGGGAAGAACAGATGAATTCCCCATTTGGGGCTGTCAGGGACAGTGACTCCCTCCCTCCCCTCCCCTCCTTCTCTTTTTTTCACGGGCAGAGAAGGTCCTGGGTGAGAGGTATGGTGTCATCACAGCACGGAGGCAGACAAGACCATGGGAAGTTTTGCCTCAAAAGATTACCTGAGCATCAAAGCCAACACATGCCCCACACAAGCATGCTTCTTACACAAAAGATATTCAAAGCTTCCCTTGCACACAAGGGCAGGGACTGTGACCTTGAGAAAGGCCTAGCGAAAATGGGTGCTATAAGTGTAATCATAAGCTCACCCACTGGGGTGTGTCTATGCGTAAGTGGAGCATGAGCACAATATGCTACCCTGTGCGTTGTGATGGGATGTCACACTCACCGCTACATGTCCGCCCTCTTCACTGAGGAACCGCCTGACATCTCGGAGGGCTGCCTCTGCACACTGTCTGGAAAAGAGAAAACAACCCGTGAATATTCTAAGTTTGAATCTACATTAAAGGAAAAAAACCCCAAAACTTCACACTGCTAAAAATGGTTCCTTCCATAATTTAAACATTAGAATTAAGGTAAACTTTAATTTTTTTCAGTAGTTTACTGAAATGTCCTCTGACAAGTACAAACCTTCAAATATACGAAATAAAAGTAATTGAGCACCAATATGAAAGTATTTATTAAGGATCTACTATATGTGAGGCACTGTGCCAAGGGATGAGAATACAAAGAAGAAAGTGAAGAAGTTCCTGCCCCCAAGGAGCTTACATTTTACCAGGGAGAAAAGTACACACAGCTATAATAAAGCTATGTAGCCAATAGATACGATGTAATTGCTGGGGAGGGGAGTACTGAGGAGGCACCAGCTGCTCAGGGGATCAGGAAAGGGCAGGAGGTGGTACCTGACAAGTGTTTGGAAGAAAAGAAGAGATTCTAAGACATGGAGGTGAGAAGGAAAGAACATATTCCAAGCATGGCAGGGACAACCAGAGCAAAAGCAGGATATGACGGTGTGTAGGGTATGGGGAAAAGAAAAAGCAGACAATAAATGAATGTGATGAGAAACAAAAAGCATCAATACTTCGTTTTTCATTTGAAAGAAAAAAAAGAATTAGAATCTCTAGTTCATCTTGCTTGTTACGTAGACTTTGTGAACTGCTGATATAGACATCTAGGGCCACGTGTTTCATTATTGTGGTTTTTTTTTAAAGTTATTTTTTGTTGGCCAGCCCAGCTCCTGCAGTAGGTAGAGTAGAATGGTCTACAGAACACCCCAACAAAGGCCAGGAAGTGCTAAGTTCTGAAATAGGAACTAACACTGAGTAATTGGCCACCAGGGCTAAGATCTGTCACAATGGCCAATCTTACCCAATGTTATGATAGAAAGCTTGCTGTAAGATCAAACATTCACTGATGAGGAGAAATGTGATCTGTCAAGAGAAGAGAAGGAAAACAGAAAATTTTGGTGGCTGAGAAAGAACGTAGAAAAATAAGAACTAAAGAGCTCTCATTTTAGACAATCAGTCCTAGCTCCGCAGCGAGAATGAAGAAGGTTGGTGGAAATTTCCCTCAACAACGTTCGAATGCCTTCGCATGACTGTTACACATGCCAAACATTCTGATTTTGTGCTTTGGTGTCCCAAGGGGGACCTACCCACCTACCTACCCACCGGGGGAAAGAGCTTGTGATAGAATACTGCAACTGGTCCTCCTGCCAAGATTATTTAGTCTCTTGCAAATAAATGAACTGACATCTGGCTCATTAACAGTAAGACAAAGATAACTCGTATTTCTAGAACAAACACCTGATCAATTGCTTTCTTCACAATAAGCCTGTGAATTCTAGTTTTACTGACCGGGAAACTGAGGCTCAGAATGGTTAAGTAACTTGTTTATGAACACATGGCATGGCTAACACTCAATCTTTTGGCTTCAAGTTCAGCGCTCATTCTACTAACTCACCCTATCAATACTTTGGGGGAATAGGTTGGTATGAATTAGTTCCCTGCACCTCTGAGTAGACTGGGAAAATCAAAATTCTGAGCCTAAAGATCTTGATAGTAGATCCTTTCCCAAAGTGACCTACCTTCCCCTCTCCCCCAAATTCCATCCTCATGGTCTTACTATCATGGGAGTCACAGACTGAACAGCTGCCTGACCTGTGTCTCCAGACCATCCCTACTGTGTCAGGCAACTTGGGCATTCAGTAGATATTATTTCCCCACTGAGTAACAGTTTAACTAAAGCGCTTGTGTATGTAATTTTACTCAAATTCAGCCATCTATCCTGTATATTTAAAGATTTTAAAATAAGAATTTGTTTTCTTCTAGACCAGTGGTCTCCAATTTTTTTTTTGCATGACCCCCTCTCAACAACTATATTTACTTAGCTATAAATCACACACATGTTGCTGTTGCTCAGTCATTCTCAGTCGTGTCTCACTCCATGACCCCATTTGGAGTTTTCTTGGCAAAAATACTGGAGCCAATTTCTTCTCCAGCTCTTTTCCAGATGAGGAAACTGGAGCAAAAAAGGTTAAGCGACTTGCCCAGGGTCACAGAGCTAGTAAGTGTCTGGGGCTGGATTTGAACTCAGATTTTCCTGACTCCAAATAAGCTGCAGAAGGAAATAGCAAACTACTCCAGTATTTTTGCCACTGAAGAAGAGTTTAAGCCTCTTGGGAAGCGACTGAGGACAGATTTGAACACAAAGAGATGAGTCTTCCCTATCCACTGTGCTACCTAGCTGCCTCATGTACTACATGTACTTAATGTACTTATGTTTAAACACAAAAGAGAAACATTTCAAAAGAATGAAATAACATTTGGTCCTAGAGTCACTAGGAAGCCAATGCAGTTAACTGGGTACAGAAGTGACACAGTCAGACCTATGCTTTAGGAAAATCACTTTGAATTAAAAAGAAAAGTGAAAAACTTACTTGAAAAGTCAGTTGTTTGGTCTATGGAATGCTAAAGTAGTAGCTTGGCTAAGTGTTTTTTCTCCATCAAATTAAGTGGTTTGGAATCTTGTTATTAACTTTATTTACCCATCATGTATTGTGATGCTCTATTCTGTTAAAAATATTTGAACTTGTTCGTTAGCATATAATAATGTTATGCAATAAATATTTGTAAAGCATAACAAAAAAAAAAAAAAAAGAAAATCACTTTGGCAGCCCTGTGGAAAATGGACTGGATAGGGAAGACACTAAAGGCAGGGCAGGGCAAGGCAACCAATTGTTGTTTGTCCTACATTCTAGAAGAGGACCAAGGGGTCAGGAACGTAAGGTCATTTGCAAGTGAACTGTATTTCAGTGAGGCAGAGCTGAATTAAGGAGGCTATAAGGAACCTGAAATAGTGAGAGTTGGTGACCAGGAAGATAGTGGGGCCATTGACAATAAGGAATTATGGAAAACAAGAGGGTGGGGCGGGAGGGATGGGGAGTAGGGTAAAGATAGAATAATGAAATCTCTGCTTTGTAGCAATTTATTAGAGCCTGCTTATCTGGTGCAACACACTCAGGAGACCAGGGGATCGGTATGTAGGGGAGGAGGGACGTTGGAATTTTGCCACTGGCATTTGTGCTAGTTGTATTGAGAGCTCAGGGAGTAGTTTTGCCCTAAGAGACTGGTCCCTGGCTTAGAAGGGCCAGGGAGTGTTTGGGGATAAGGGTAGATGAGATTATATTGGAGACAAGTCCCATGACTGGCCAGCACCCTCAGACTAAGTGATCACATATCCTTTGGGCTCAGGCCCTTCCCCCCAAGGGGATACTGGCCAACAGCTTTGGACCGCCCTTCTGGACAATGTTTCTGGACAACTGTGAATATTAAGCAATTTTTCCCTTTGTCCTTTTGCATGGGTATTTTTCAGGACATTTGTTTATATTTCAGATATTTATTAAATAAAATTAAATTTACCTTGTTTATCAGGCAAGAGGCCACTTTGGCATGGATGAGTTATGTTTTTATGACCTGAACTTAGGGTTCTTACCTGTGTACTCACCAGGGATGCTGGATGAAAATGTTCTTAAGGATTTTAATTGGTCTTGGAATGTCACATATGCCTCAAAAAACATGTTTTATCTTAGGACAATGACCTATCTTTTAAAAGCCCTGCCTCCTTATAGGTTTGTTTCCAAAGTTATTTTGATTTCTCTGATCTTAATATTAATAGAGTACTTGATTCTGGTAGAACTGGCTTTTTAAGTTTTGAAAAATGGGGTGTCTCCAGAAGTTTAAGTTTCCTCTTCTTTCACTTTAAGAAATACATATTGGGATTAATAGGATTTAAAAGGTACATCGTACCTTGATTTTTCTGCTACTTTTTATTGTTGTCGTTGCTATTAGCTTGGGCTCATCTTCAGTTTCCATGACTTTCATTAATGTGTCTTCCATTTTCCATTTTGTAATATTCTTTCTACTCTTGCTCAGATGTAAAAGCAAGTCTTTATCCTTGATAACTTACACATTTTTGGACATGGCCATGCAGGAATTTGCTTTGTGCCTGATTAGGCATATTTGTTATAAGGGTTTTATTTTTATTTCTTTCACTTGGGAGGAGGGAAAGTGAGGACAGAAAATAAGTGCTTGTTAATTGAAAAAGATAAAATAAAAAGTTCTTGGCTTAGACATTGACCATGCTGGATCTGTTTTTCCAGGATAAGGGAACCAAGCCTTCTCCTTTCCACCACCTAAACCATTACTCAGACAATATGACCTCCTCTTCATTATAACTTGCTTGGCTCCAGACAAACAACGTATTCTTTACAGCAACTCTTTTCACAGTGATTAATGACTAGTTCAGTTGCCATCTGCTCAGGTTCTCAGGGGGTATTTCTGCCCAAGCCCTGAGGTTTCTCAGACCTTTATTTGTTGTCTCCCTGTCTTCATGAAACCATATTTTAGTCCCACTGACACCCAACATTGCTGAAGATGAGACTTCTTGGTCTAAAACAACTTGTGAAATCTTTTCAACATCCACTGAGAGGAGAATCAGCATTTTAAAACCAGATTCTAGTTTCTGCTTGGCCACTACTACTCTGATTTCTAGCTTCTTCCTCTGTAAAATGGGAAGAACTTTTGGCTACACACATACACACACAAACACACAACACACTGAAGAGGAAAGAAGTGATAGTACTTTGGGGTCTTCTGAGAAAGGAAGGAAATATAGCCAAGATATTTACATTTTGTTCTAATTTTCTTCAAAGGACAGCTGATTTTCCATTATTCCAATTTATCTATACCAAAGGAAGGCCTATGTACTCCCAGAAATGGAAGGAATGGATCCTAAAGTCAACAAGTCAATTCAACAAGTTTTTATGAAGCACCTACTACGTGCACTGGGATAGAAATAAAGGTAAAAAACAGTGCTTGTCTTAAGGGGCTATAACAGGGGAGATAATATTCAAACATATGTACAAAACTATACATGTACAGGATAAAACTGGCAATTGCCTCAGAGGCATTAAGATTAAAGAGGACTGGAAATGGCAGGAGTTTAGCTGAGATGTGAAGGAAGCCTAGAAAGATGATGATGAGGGCTGCTAGGTGGTGACTCTGGCCTTGGAGTCAGGAGAACCAAGTTCAAATCCAGTCTCAGACCAGATACTTGACACTTACTAGCTGTGTGACCCCAATTGCTTTGCCAAAAAAAAAAAAAAAGATAAAGATGAGGAGGGAGACATGGGAGACTCTGGGCAGTGAAAATGCCCAGAAGCTAACACTTTAGAGGAATGGCCCCAAAGAGGACCACCTGACAATGATTTGGGTTGGTTCTGACAAATGTTTTCTCTTACCCAAAGATTATGCCACCACTGTCAAGAGGAGCATAAAGCCTTGTATGTCTACCAGCCAACACCCCTATCCCACCCATGCCTCTACTAGAAGCCATGAGTAAGCCAGAAAGCTTTGCCCTGAGATACCTTCAAAGCAGAAATAGATGAACATCTAGCCTGCCATTCAGAGACAGCCCTTTGGGAGTGTGAAGCTGAGAATACAGGGCAGAGCACTCTAATATTTGAAGAGGCCACTAAGCTGGGCTAATCTGATCATCAGTAACTTTAAGTAAGTATGGAAGAAGCAGCAGGCAATGAGTCTGGAATGGAAAAACACGACATACGGAGCTTGGATCTCATGTAGGGCAGAGGAATGAACAGTATTCAGGTAATGTGACTGCCTGAATCAATACTGGTGAACATCAAGCTGGCCCATCCTTTGGTAGGTTCTTGGGGTAACATGTAGGAAAATGTCAGAATGAATAGCCATGTGGAATTCTGGGCAACAGTTCTTCAAATAACAGTAATCAGTCTATCTTCTGAGTCACCTTTATCTTCTCCATATGACTCTAACTGCTGGCCCTTAGTAAAAATTGGACTCAGTTAAAAGGCCACATGTGGCCTTGAGGCTGCAAGTTCCCCACCCCTGAGTACCTGTCAGCCAACTGTGTGATGGTAAAAGATGGTGAAAGCTTGCCAGTTCCTCTTTCAAACCTTCACCAAGGAAGCCCTGGCTGTATGGGTAGATCATTCTCATAAAAACGTTAATGACACCAAGCTCCTCAGTTTTTTAACAACAATATTCTTCTGTTGGTGATGCTGTATAGCTCTGAGTCATGAAATACCATGGTCTTCAAAGTATTAAAGTTAAAGGTCACAAAAGATCAATGAATGAGCATGCTGACAACTTGCTGATGAAGAATGACACAGAAATGAAGGACTGAGGGGAAAAAATGGATTGGTCATGTAATGAGAGCAAGGTGGGAAAGAAACAGGCCCCTCTCCCCTTCATTAACACCAAATCAAAGGTTAATCTTAAGAGTCTTCATAGCAAGCCCAGCCCTGTCTCCTCTTTCTTGGTCTCCCACTAGAGTTAAAAAAAAAAAAAAGGCTTCAACTTACTTTCTGATTTTCAAGCCTTCTTCATTGTCCGGAAGAAAGAACTCAAAAGATCTATATGTTTTCACCAGGTCTCGACGATACTGGCCAACATTAAATTCTGAGATGAAAAAGAGAAAGTCTCAAAACCATAGGGCAAGTGGGAGCTCCAACACCTCTAAGAACAGCACTTGGACAGACCACGTTACCCTACTGGCAGAGGAACCACCCCCTCCATCAGAGTCAGGGTCAGGGTTGCCTCCTCTAGGACCACCAAAGGACGTATCAGCACAGGGGCTTCTCTATGACCCAAAACCATGCAGGTCTGAATTTTATGCCAAAGACCAGGAAAAGTATATTCCAAATTTCATACTCTGCCTCCCATCCCTGGCACCCTTCAGTGTCCTCAACTCTGTGATGTCCCAAAGCAACTGATGATTCACAGTCAAAAGCACTCAGGCTTGAGACATTTCCTAAGGAATAGCGATGCCTCCCAACACTTCCAAATGTCAAAACCAATGAGGTGCCTAGACCTGTCTAGACCCAAAGGGTAAATTCACATCATGGTATCTGGGCACCCTAACCCCACCCAATTTCCAGGAAGTCTTCCCTTAGACCCAGGGAACCCTCTTCTCAGGTGTCTGTCACCACTACTGTCTGGCCAAAGTGTAAGGTGTGAGGGTACCCCTTCTTCCCAGTGCCTCCTGAGGCTTAAAGGGCCCCTTTTGGGGATCCTTGTTTTGAGGGTAGATTGGAGAGGGGAAGGGAGGGGAGGGGAACTTTATCAGTATATAAAATTCTACGTTAATGTGCATTAACCATTTAATGTGGATTAGCCATTAAAGTTACAAACTGAGTCTGCAAACAATGATATGGAGCAGGGATTTTAGCTCCAACCTACCAGCCTGACTTCCTGTAAATTTATAAGAAAATTATTCTCCTAATAAAACTGAAAGCTTCCACTAAAGTCTTCCTATCATGCCTCACCATGCTACGGAGCTAACCCTTGGTTCCTGAAAGTGATGCCCATGGGCCAGCCTACCTAAGTGTAGAGAAACTCATTATGAGAAATTTGGCCACCAAACAATGAAGCAACTCAATTTGGGAGATTTGCAGCTCTATGAATGGAGAAAGGAACTACACCAGTGAACTCATGTACCTTTCAGGCTAGCAAAGGCATGAAGTGAAAAATGAGACTATTACTTTCAAGATGGTCTCAGGGATCAGTAAGATGATGTCAGAGTTTTCCTAGCCTGGTCCTTGTGATGACACAAACCCTGTGACCACCAGTCCCTTGGCAAAAAACTAGGCCTGTCAGACTGTCTAGAATTCAGGGGTAGGGAACTTGTGACCTCAAGGCCATATGTGGCCCTCTAGGTCCTCAAGTGTGGCCCTTTGACTGAATCCAAACTTCACAGAACAAATCCTTATCCCCAAACCTTACCCCTGGTCTAGATAAGAGTTGCTTCCTCCCAGAAGCACCAGTAATGAGAGTCCAGCTTAGATAGGAGATAAAGCACAGGCTTCTCTGGCCCTCACCTCTGGTTGGGACACCAATCCAGTTTAAGTAGCGTGTCAGCTTCTTAGAGATGTAGGTCTTCCCTCTAGCTGGCAGGCCCACCATGACGATCAATGTGGGACAATTGGTCACACAGACTGTAAGAGAGAAAGACACAGATAGTCAGCATCTCTTCTTGCCATGGGATGGAAGCCCTGAGGACACAGTCTGGAAGAACCTCAGCCTCACACATCCAATGAAGGGTCTGGAGCTCAACAACCCCTAATGCACATCCATCTGTGTAATGCCCAGTGACCTTCGACACTGTCTTACATTTACATTCTGTCTTTCTATACATAGTACCCAGCACTGTCTTATGCACATAGCATTTGATGAAAGCTTACTGAATTGAACGTGTACCTGGTACAGAGAGACCCATCACACATTAGGGGCATGTGGCTGGACCTGAATGGAAGAAGTGAGGGATCCGACCAAGGGGAAAAGTGATAAAGGAACTGGCCTCAGAGACACTATAGGACTCAGGCTCCGCCATGTTCTAGGTTTTCTTCTGACAGATAACAGATGGGAGGGGGTTCCACCGGGTCCTAACACAGAGAGGCCCCCCCCCCAACCATCAATAAACTAAACCAAAGAGGGAAAATAGTAGAACATAGTCCTGGAAGCCAAGGGTCCCTTGATCACTCAGACCTCATTTAGGGCAGATGGGGAGGAAGAGCTGTCAGTGGGGGTGCCTTTCCTCATCACTTTCCTCCAACTCTCCACAACCTGGCAACCCAGATCCCACCGTCAGGTTAAATGGGCTAGGAAGAACAACACAGCTGCTTAAGCCACTTGGATAAACTGAACATCACCAACCCCCACCCCCCGCTGATGTTTGATATTGCTACTGACACTAGATCAGGGTTGCCTCCCCCCAGGTCCCATTCAGTATGCCAAACAGAGAGTTGCTCCAGAAGCCTCACTTTTCACTCACTTTTCATCATTAGCTCTTCAGTTCCTACTTACTCAGGTCTTTCTCCTGAGCCTTGAGATAGGGGCAATTCTTCCCTCTGGGCTTAAGAGACTGAAACTAGATACCCTCAAAGACTCTCCTTTACCACTGGTGACTCTGAGGAAGCAGCCTTTCCCAGAAAGTCCTTCCAGACAGCCCAGCCTGGCTGAGACAGACCTGGCCCAACAGACCTCCCCAGACTAGGCCAAGGTCCCTTCCTCCCCAAGAGAAGTATGGTAAAAAGCAAACAGCCCTGCCTGGAGACCTGGAAATTTAGGCATTAGTTTAGGCTTTATCTTTAACTCCCTAAGTACCTAGAAGTAAATCTCTTCCCTTCCCAGGACATCCTCAGGGTTCTGGTGTTTGATATTTTTGTTGCTGTTGTTTTTCTCCTTTCTGGTAACCAGCTTGGGCTAGATAAAACAATTTCTAAAGTCCCTCAGGCTCTGATATTCCATGAACTCATAGGACCTGTTTCCTTCCACTGTTTCCTGCCCAGTTACCTGGGCTGATTTCTGCCAAGAGCAGAAGTTGCTCTATCACATTTGGATTTGGGGGGGTGGAGTGGGGACACTATGGGGGCCCCCTGGACAGCACTTGCTCCATCATGGGTCAGTGAGAAGCACCTGCTCCACCACAGGCAGAGCATAAACTACACATGAGGCTTGCAAAAAAAAAAAAAAGCCACAACTGACTCAGGAGGAAGAAAAACAAGTTAAGCAATGAATTGCCTTCTGGGGCCAAATGGTGAAAGCCTTGAACTGGGGGGAGGGGATGAAGACTCTGCTCTCTAAGCACAAAGACACAATTTCAGTCTCAGCTTTTCTGGAAGCAAAAAATGAACTTCTCCACTGTTTCCCCAGACCCCAACCAGTGAATTAACTAACACCCCCACCCCCCCATCATTATTAACCGTGGACATTCACAGACCACTTTTAAGACTTGTCAAGCATTTTTAGTATGTTCTCTTATGTAACCCTCACAACAACATAATGAAGAGAAGACCAATTCTGGCTTGGTTAAGCCTACCTGTGTAACCTTGGGCAAGTCACAACCTCTCTGAGCCAATTTCTTCACTTGTAAAAATAAGAGAGTTGGCCTCAAATGACCTCTAGGATCCCTTCTAGCTCAAAGCTGATGAATAAGCACGAGAGGTGCCACCTTGATTTGATCAGTGAGGACACTGATGATCAAAAAGATTAAGTGGTAAGATTAAGTAGGATATTAACTCAATTCTCACCAGATTCCAAGACCAGTGCTCTCTGTCCCCCATAATGCATGCCTCCTAAACCATACTAGTAGAACATATTATTCAAAAACACGCTCCTTTCCCAATCTACACTACAAGCTAAATCACAGGGCTTACAGCTAGAAAGCTTGGGTCATTTGACTACAAGGAAACTCACTCTGAGAGGTTGTTATGCACATTCACACAATACAAGACAAATATGTAGTAAGCACTTTCTGTACACAGAAGATTGTACAGGGCACCGGATGAGATTCTGAGCTTGAATAAGACAGTTCCTGTCATCATGGAGCTCAAAGTCTGATAAGGGGTGTGACATCACAGAAACCTATTTTAACATACAATATTACTGATGCACCTTATAGACTTGCAAAGCACAGTACTGTATGTGATCTAAGGGGGAGGGACATTATGGATGGGGATAGAAATGAGGAAAAGATTCCTAGTTGTGTAGCTTATTTCAGCTGGGCCTTCAAAGGATGAATGAGAATAAAACAAGTAAAAGGCAGGAGAGAGGGCATTTTAAGCATAAGGAACAATGTGATCAAAAGTATGAAAGCATATGAGAACATACAAGGGAAATCAGGTGGGGCCAGCAAAGCCATCCAGTTTGGTTGGAGCACAGTATTAAGAGGTTAGTCTAGAAACTAGGGTAGTGTCAGATCGGAGGACCCTAAATGTCAGACTAGGAATTTTGGGCTTTACCAGGCCTAGTGATAGGGAACCATGTAAGTTTTTTGAGCAAACGATCGACACAGCCAGATTTTTGCACAAAGAACGTTAGTCTGGCAGCATGTGAAAGATTAACGTGAGGCAGAGAGTACAGAAGTAAAGACATGTTAGGAGGCTATTGTAATACTTCTGGTAGGTGGTAATGAGAACCTCTTCATTGTTCAGTTGTTATCTGCCCTTCTGTGACTCCATTTGGCTTTTTCTTGACAAAGATACTGGAATGGTTTGCCATTTCCTTCTCCAGCTCATTTTACAGATGAGGAAACTGAGGCAAACAGGGTGAAGTGATGTACTCAGGGTAACAGAGCTTGGAAGTATCTAAGCAGGATTTGAACTCAGGTCTTCTGACACCAGGCCTGGCACTCTATCCACTGCACCACCTAGCCGTTAAGTGCTTTACGATTATTATCTCATTTGTTCCTCACAACAACCCAGAGAGGTATGTGCTACAATAATCTCCATTTTAAGATGAGGAAACTGAGGCAAAAAGAGAGGAAGTGACTTGCCCAGAGTCACACAGCTAGTTAATGTCTGAAGCCAGACAACTCAGGTCTTCCTGATGCCAAGCCCAGTGCTCAATCTACTCCATCACCTACATGCCTGTACCTGTGCTACAGTGGTAGCAATGGGAACAAAGTGGAAGGAGAGCTATAAAAGATGTTTCAGGGCTTGGGAGCTGTCTGGATGTGAAAGGGGAGGGAGAGGGAAGAGTTACTGATAACACCGTGCCCTTCAACTGTGATGAGTTTGAAGTGGCAATATAAAGTATGACATTAAGGTGGAGATGTCCTGGATGTACCTGGAGATGTGGTTCTGGACAGAATAGGATATATGGTTTTGAGTCATTAGTCAATGAATAAGCCACAGGGGTTCATAGTATTGATGGGGTGAGCTTAAGCAGAGATCTCCCCCACCCTTGTCCCAAAGGGAATCTGGCTCCCATTTGTCTACAGACCCCAGCTCCTCATCCCCCTTTGGAAGCCTTAGCCTCCCCCTTTTGACCTTACTAAGATGCGTTCCAGCTCCCTCCATTACAGGCCCCATAAAACACTTAAACTTTCAGCTTCCTTATCGACTCTCCTTATCTCCCTTTGACAAATGCCTTTCCATTCCCCTCATCAGCTATTTCCATTGTTTATTCAGACCTCCCCAATTAGAATTCTCACCTAGACCCTTTTCCCAGGCCCCTTCTCTGGCCACCCAAAGTTACTTTAGTATTTAAGATCCACCCAGGCCCCCACTCAGATGCTGAGAATCTCAAGCCCAAAAGGCTGAGACCTTCTCATGCCTGCTTGTCCTTACAGGTGTCACCTGGCCTATGCAATTTATCACTAATAGGGGCAGCTAGGTGGAGCAGTGGATAGACCACCCACCCTGGAGTCAGGAGGACCTGAGTTCAAATGCGGCCTCAGACACACAATACTCACTAGCTGTATGACTCTGGGCAAGTCACTTAACCCCCAACTGCCTCGCAAAAAAAAAAAAAAAGATTATATTCTAATGGGGGAATACAATGCAGATTTATCACTAACAAATTTTTCCTCTGGCTGGAAGAAGATTTGAGTTGAATTCATTCAAGCAGGGCCCAGTGTCACGATCTTGGGGTTCCAGCAGCACCCCAAAAGTCCTAGACCTCTTCAGTATCGCCAAGGGAAAGAGTGTGGAGAGAGGAGAAAAGAGGGCTGAGGACAGGCTTTTGGGGAATATATACATTAAATTGGTAAGTGGAAGAGATATTAGAGGCCACAAGCCAACCTCCTTTTCTTACAGATTATAAAAGTGAGGGACAGAGAGTTGACTTGCCCAGGGTCACACAGCTAGTTAAGTGTCTGAGGAAGGATTTGAACTCAGGTCTTCCTGACTCCAAGTCCAGCACTCTGGACACTATTTCACCTAGCTACCAGCCAACTGTGGTATCTCTGAAGCCAAGGAAGGAGAGAATAACCAATAGGAGTGGTTGGTCAACATTATGAAACATTGTTGAGAAGTCAAGAAGATAAAAGTTAAAAACAAAAAAAGGTCACTGGATTTGGGAATTAGTACATCACTGGCAATGTTAGAGATAACATTTTTAGTGGTGGCAGGAGCCAAAGCCAAGTCTACAAGGGAGTAGAGAGAGAACAGTCAGCAAAGAAGCAAAAGTATCTGGGCAAGAAGACTTTTTTGTT